CCTCTCCCAGTCCCCCCAGTTCCCCCTGAATCCTCTCCCAGTCCCCCCAGTTCCCCCAGTATCCCCTCCCAGCCCCCCCAGTTCCCCACTCTCCGTTCCCGTTTGGGCACAGCTGGCTCAGGCCGAGTCCCGCTCGGGGCCGTTCCCGGTTCCGCCGGGGAGCGGCTCCAAGGGGGAGGCTCCGGCCGGGTCCCCGCTCCACGAGCGGCTCCTGCAGCTCCAGAACGCGCTGGCCGCGGGCGAGACGGACCGGAGGCTGCTCCAGGTGGGACCGGAACCCTTCCCGGTGCCCCCAGCTCCTCCCGAGCCCCTTCCCTGTCCCCTCATTCTCTGTGAGCCCCCTCCCAGCCCTCCCTAAACCCCCTCCCGCTACTCCCAGTTCCCTCTGAACCCCTCCCAGTGCTCCCATTTGCCCTGAACACTCCCGGTCCCCTCCGTTCCCACTGGAACTCCTCCCTCTTCCCCTTGAGCCCCCTCCCAGCTCCCCCGGTTCCCCTGAATCCTGTCCCAGTTCTCCCTGGACCCATGCCCAGTCCCCCCCAGCCCCCTGCCAGTCCCTGCTGTCCCGGGGATGTCCCGGGGCTGTCCCGGGGATGTCCTGGGGCTGTCCCCGGGTGTCCCGAGGGTGTCCCGGGGCTGTCCCCGGGTGTCACGGGGCTGTCCCGCTGTCCCCCGGTGTCCCAGGAGGGGCTGGAGGAGGCGCGGCGGGCGCTGGCGGAGGCACGGCGGGAGAAGGGAATGCTGCGGGAGCAGCTGCGGGAGCAGCGGGAGCTGGGAATGCTGCGGGAGCCGGGGATGCTCCGGGATCTGGGAATGCCGCGGGAACAGGGAATGCTCCGGGATCTGGGAATGCCGCGGGAACAGGGAATGCCACCGGAGCCCTCCCAGGACCGGCAGCAGGAGGTGAGCGGGGCCGCACCCCAAATTCGCTGACTTTTGACCCCAGACTGTGGATCCCCCATAGAGCCCTGCACCCTTATGGGCTAATTAATGATCTAATTATCATCTCATACCTATATCATCATATCTAGTAATCTGATACTATATTAGATAATTGATCTATTGCCACATATATATATATATATATATATACACCTCTATTTGGGTTTATCTGTATTTTTCTATCTATTACACATACTTTAATAAATATTTATCTGTGTGTCCGGGCAGGAGCGGGACCCTCCCGGCCAGGCTGGACCCGCGCAGCTCCCGGCAGGGCCGGATCTCCGGGCGGGGCCGGATCCCCCCGCGGGCTCGGCCGAGCGGGAGCTGGAGGAGGCTCGGAAACGCATCCAGGTGCTGCGGGTGGGTCCCGGGGCCGGGGCCGAGCCCGATCCAGGGGATGGGGCCAATCCTGATCCATGGGCTGGGGCTGATCCATGGATTGGGGCTGATCCTGATCCACAGGATGGGGCTGGGGCTGATCCTGATCCATGGATTGGGGCTGCTCCTGTTCCATGGGCTGGGGCTGCTCTTTGGGAGCTCATCCTGATGGGAACGTGCCTGGTGCTGGTGCTGGGATGGGGCCGGGCTCATCCCAACAGGAATGGTCCCGGTACTGGGAAGGGGCTGGGTTCATTCCAGGAGCAGGGAGGTGTTGGCACTGGCCACACCAGGGAGGTGGTGCTGGTGTTGGTGCTGGTGCTGTTGCTGGTGTTGGTGTTGGTGCTGCTGTTGGTGTTGGTGCTTGTTGGTGCTGGGTGTTGCTGTTGGTGCTGGTGTTGGTGTTGGTGCTGGTGTTGGTGTTGGTGCTGGTGTTGGTGTTGGTGCTGGTGTTGGTGTTGGTGCTGGTGTTGATGTTGGTGTTGGTGCTGCTGTTGGGTGTTGGCGCTGGATGTTGGTGTTGCTGTTGGTGTTGCTGTTGGTGCTGGTGTTGGTGCTGGTGTTGGTGTTGCCGCTGGGTGTTGCTGTTGCTGTTGGTGCTGGTGCTGGCTCTGGCTCCGGGCCGTTCTTGGGTGCCCGTGCAGGCAGTGCCCATCCCGGGGTGCCCGTGCAGGCAGTGCCCATCCCGGGGTGCCGGGCACCCCTCCCCACAGGCTCAGGTGTCAGCGCTGGAGCTCCGGGCCCGGCCGCTCCCCGAGGCACCCGCGGAGCTGCAGCGGGAGCTGGAGCGGCTCCGGCTCGGCCGCGGCAGCCTGGAGGAGCAGGTGAGGGGACACAGGGACAGCCCACGGACACGGGAACAGCCTGGGGGACACGGGGGCAGCCTGGGGACACGGGGACAGCCTGGGGACACGGGGACACAGCCTGGGGGACACAGCCCGCAGGGACACAGGAACTGCTCGGGGAAGACCGGGGAAGATGGGGACATGGCCCCAGGGGACACAGGGACACAGCCTGGATGATATGGGGCAGCCCCAGGGGACACAGCCCAGAGGGACACGGGGACACGGCCCCAGGGGACACGGCCTGGGGGACAGCCCAGGGACACGGGGACAGCCCGGGGGACACGGCCCGCAGGGACACAGGGACACAGCCTGGATGATATGGGGCAGCCCCAGGGGACACAACCCAGAGGGACACGGGGACATGGCCTGGGGGACATGGGGACACGGCCTGGGGGACACAGGGACAGCCCAGGGAACACAGCCCAGAGGGACACGGGGACACGGCCTGGGGGACAGCCCAGGGACACGGGGACAGCCCAGGGAACACGGCCCGCAGGGACACGGGGACACGGCCTGGGCGACACAGGGACAGCCCTGGGGAGACAGCCCAGAGGGACACGGGGACACGGCCCGGCCCCACAGCCTCCCCTCCCTCCCTCCCTCCCTCCTGCAGATCGCGCTGCTCAAGGAGCAGGAGCTGCAGCGACATCCCACCGGAACTTAGGGAATTCCGGGAATTCCGGGACATCCGCAGGGACCAGCGCAGCTCTGGGACGGGAGGATCCATCCCCATCCCCGATCCCAAAATCCACAGCAGCTCCGCTCAGGGGTGAGGGGGATCCAGCCCCATCCCTGTGCTCCAATCCCACAGCGATTTTTGTCTCCTTGTTCCCTTTTCTCCAGGAAAAAGCTGCACTTTTCCCACCAGCTGACAAAATTTGTCTATTTTTGATACAATCTGGGACCTCATGGATGGTTTACTCATTTTCCTGTTGCAGTTTTTAATGGAAAAATGGGGAATATTCCCTTGTTTTAGCCCCAGAAGACCCAACTGATTTATTCCCCTCCAGCCTTCCAAGCCCTGCCCTCACCCCATCCTAATTTTTCCCCTTTTTCTAACAAAAAACTCCCAGGATTTCTGTTTTTGAAGGACTTTTTTTAGGAACTAGCAGGGTTTTTATATGGAATTTTTGGGAATGGGGGTTTTTACTGGTGCTCCCGAGGGTGGGAAAGCCATGGGAAGGGAGGTGGTGGCTCTGACCCCCTCCCAGTCCCAGCCAGAATAAACATGGAAAATCAAACTGGGAGTTCTGAGGGATTTTTTGGGGGAAGTTGGCATTTTGGGTATGCCCAAATTTGGGCTGGGTTGAATGAGGTCCCTAAATAATAATGAATAATAAGAATAATGAACAATAAATAGAAATAAGCAATAATTAAAACCCAATAATGATAATTAATAATGAAGAGTAAAGGATAAGAAATCGTAATAAACAGAAAATAATGATGAGTATAAAGCTGCACCCTATAGATGAGAGAGAAGCTTTGGGGGGAAATTCACCCTATAAAGGGGAAATGCACCTTATAGAGGGGAGATTCACCCTACAGATTAAAAATACACCCTATAGAGGGGAAATTCACCTTACAGAGGGGAAATACACCCTATAGAGGGGAAATTCATCCTATAGGGGGGAATGCACCTTATAGAAGGGAAATTCAACCTACAGAGGAGAAATTCATCCTACAGAGGAGAAATTCATCCTAGAGAGGGGAAATTCACTGTGAGACCCCACCCACCACCCTCTATAGGGGAACTGGGCAACACCCCAAAGCCAGCCCCAAACCCACCCCAAACCCCTTGACTGTCTGTAAGTGACCCAGACCTTACCCCAAACATTTCCATACCGCACATCTTCCTGCAGGCCCCAAAATGAGCCCCTACATCCCCCAAATGCCACCCTAAAACCGACCATTTTACACCCCAAAGCCCCCTAAACACCCCAAATCATCCTACAGCCTGTGTGCAGCACTGGGAATTGTTCAAATTGTCAGAATCCCCCCCAGATTGGGAATAACTCCAAAGGAAGGAGCCAAGAGTGCAAAAATCAGCAATAACCCCAAAGGAAGGATCCAGGAGCCCTGAAATTTGGAATAACCCCAAAGGAAGGAGTTGGGAGCCCAAAAATTGGGAATGACTGCAAAGGAAGGAGTCGGGAGCCCAAAAATCAGGAATAATCCCAAAGGAAGGAGTTGGGAGCCCAGAAATCGGGAATAACCCCAAGGGAAGGATCCAGGAGCTCAGAAATTGGGAATAATCCCAAAGGAAGGAGCCAGGAGCCCAAAAATTGGGAATAACCCCAAAGGAAGAAGCCAGGAGCCCAGAATTGGGAATAATCCCAAAGGAAGGCGCCGGGAACCCAGAAGTTGGGAATAACCCCAGAGGAAGGAGCCAGGAGCCCAAACATCGGGAATAATACCAAAGGAAGGAGCGGGGAGCTCAAAAATCGAGAATAACCCCAAAGGAAGGAGATGGGAGCCCAGAAATTTGGAATGACCCCAAAGGAAGGAGCCAGGAACCCAGAAATTTGGAATGACCCCAAAGGAAGGAGCCAGGAACCCAGAAATTTGGAATAACCCCAAAGGAAGGAGACGGGAACCCAGAAATTTGGAATAACCCCAAAGGAAGGAGCCGGGAGCCACAGGGCCCCTCCGCTCTCTGCGGGACCCTCCGGGGCTCCCCGTCCCACGGAACAGAGAAAGGCACAGCAATAACAAACCCCCCCGATTTAATTATTATGTGCACAAAGAAAAAGGGAATCCCGGGGTTTCGGGGAGCTGCTCGTTCATGCACGGGAGCCGCAGCGGCGCGGGGCGGGTCCGGAGCGGGGCCGGGGCTCAGCAGCCGCCGCAGCTGCGGGCGCAGGACGCGCCCACGGTCTGGCACAGGCCGCTCGTGGCCATCACCCCGCACTTGGAGAACTTGTCCCGGCACAGGTCGGCTGCGGGGAGCCAGGGATTATCCCGGGATAATCGGGAGAACTCCGGGAGAGCAGCGAGGGGAGCCCCCAGTCCGGCCCCACCGCACAGCGCGACCCCGCTCTGCTCCGGGGGTCTCGGGAGCTTTGGGAGCAGCGAGGGATCCCCGCCCCATTGGGGCACACCCCGGCCCCAACCCACATCCCGGCCCCATCCCAAAATCCCACGGGACCAAAGCTCCAGAGACCCCCGGAGCAGAGCGGGGTGGGGCTGTGCGGTGGGGCCGGGGTGTGCCCCGATGGGGCGGGGGTCCCTCCCTGCTCCCAAAGCTCCCGAGACCCCCGGAGCAGGGAGGGACCCCTGCCCCATCGGGGCACACCCCGGCCCCACTGCACAGCCCCACCCCGCTCTGCTCCGGGGGTCCCGCGGGATTTTCCCTCCCCGGAATTATGGGGAAAATCGTGACTGGGATGGGGACGGTGCCGGTTTCTCGCTCACCGGATTTTCCCTCCCCGGAATTATGGGGAAAAGCCTGATTGGGATTGGGATGGGGACGGTGCCGGTTTCTCGCTCACCTCGCAGCAGCTCCTCGTGGGCGCACACGGTGCGGACGCAGATCTCCTTGTTGATGACATAAACCCGGCGGAGGCTGGAAATTTTGGGATAGAAAGGATGGGGATGTAAAGAGGAAGGGTTCCCAAAACCCCGGATCAGAGGGATCAGGGATGTTTCCCCTCCCTCACGCACCTGTAGAAGCAGATCTCGTTCAGGCACTGCTTGCAGGGCTTGTGCACGGAGTAGAGCCGGGTGCAGGGGTACTGCTCCTCCCGGCAGTCTGCGGGCAGGGAACCGGCAATGCCCGGCAATTCCTCACCCGGCCATTCCCCCAGCCCCGATTGTCGCCTCCTCCAGCCCCGATTGTCGCCTCCCCCCAGCCCCCATTGTCCCCCCCCGGTGGCACAGCCCCGCTCCGGTCGGAGCCCGGCACAGGGAACGGGAATGGGATCGGCACTCACCGAGCGGTCCCGGCTCCGTGGGCTCCGTCTCGGGCACCGCAGCTGAGGGGGACAGGGGACAGGGAATGGGACAGGGAACGGGACAGGGAATAGGACAGGGGACAGGAGATGGGGAGAGAGGAACAAGGGGACAGGGAGACAGGGGACAGGGGGACAGGGAATGGGACAGGGGACAGGAAATGGGGACAGAGGAATAAGGGGACAGGGAACAGGGGACAGGGGGACAGGGAATGGGACAGGGGACAGGGGGAAAGGGGACAGGGGACAGGGGCACAGGAGAGGGAATTTCAGGATGAGGCAGAAGTGTCTCCTCGCCCCTTCCCTGGAGCACCCTTGGCACCCACTGGCTGCTCTGGAGGGCACAGCTGGGCTGGGGGGGCAGGGAAGGGACAGAGAGACCCGGGACTGGGGGGCTTGGGGGGGCTGTCACCCACCCTGGGGGCTGTCACCCACTTTGGGGGCTGTCACCCACCCTGGGGGCTGTCACCCACTCTGGGGGCTGTCACCCACCTGGGGTCGGGGCTGGCACAGTTTCCTGCTGGGATTGCTGCTGGGATTGGTACCGGAACTGCTCCTCCGGGGCTCGGGGGGTGACATCTGCAGGGAGAGACCCAGTGCAGGGACATCCCCAAATCCCCAAATCCCCAAATCCTGATCCCCCCCCTCCCCAGTATCCCAGAGGGAAACACTCACCGTGGTAGTCGTAGTAATCCTGAATTTCTGGGGATAAAACAGAAACAGACTGAGGGAGGGTCTGGGGAGAGAGCTCATCCCGTGGGGACTGGGAGAGGGAAATGAGATCCCTGGAATTCCCTGGTGGGTCAGGAAAACTCCCTCCAGCCCCTCCAGGGATGAGCCTGGGCCACTTCCCACAGGTGGGGATTGGGGATGGATGAAGGTTCAAAAAATGATTGGATAAAGTTCTAATAAATAGTTGGATAAAGGTTTAATAAAGAATTGGATGAAGGGTTAAGAAATAATTGGATAAAGGGTTAATAAAGTATTAGATAAAGGGTTAATAAAGTATTAGATAAAGGTTAATAAAGAATTGGATAAAGGGTTGATAAAGTATTGGATAAAGGGTTAATAAATAATTGGATAAAGGTTTAATAAGGAATTGGATAAAAGGTTAATAAAGGATAAAGGTTTAAAAAGGAATTGGATAAAAGGTTAATGAGGAATTGGATGAAGGTTTAATAAAGAATTGTCAGTGAGAGCACAGGGAGGAGCTGGGAAGGCTGGGAATTCCAGGAGCGGAGCACAAGAGGGAGGGATCAGAGGGTGGGTGTCTGTCTGTCCGGATCAGAGGGTGGGTGTCTGTCTGTCCGGAGCAGAGGGTGGGTGTCTGTCTGTCCGGATCAGAGGGTGGGTGTCTGTCTGTCCAGATCAGAGGGATGGGTGTCTGTCCGGATCAGAGGGTGGATGTCTGTCTGTCCGGATCAGAGGGTGGATGTCTGTCTGTCCGGATCAGAGGGTGGATATCTCGGATCAGAGGGTGGATGTCTGTCTGTCTGGATCAGAGGGTGGGTGTCTGTCTGTCCGGATCAGAGGGTGGGTGTCTGTCTGTCCGGGAGAGGGACAGAAGGGGCGGGGCTCTCACCTGCCTGCTGGTCGTACTGGGAGTACTGGACCGGCTCGGGGTAGGTGATGCCCTCGAACCTGCTGAACTGTCCCTGCACCAGGAGCGCTGCGGGACAGGGCTGGGCTCAGCGGGGGCACAGCACCCCAAACTGGGTCTGGGATTCCCATGGACACCCCAAACCCGGTCTGGGATTCCCATGGACACCCCAAACCCGGTCTGGGATTCCCATGGACACCCCAAACCGGGTCTGGGATTCCCATGGACACCCCAAACAGGGATTTGGGTTCCCATGGAAACCCCAAACAGGGATCTGGGATTCCATGGACACCCTGAACCCAGGATCTGGGATTCCCATGGACACCCCAAACAGGGATTTGGGTTCCCATGGAAACCCCAAACCAGGATCTGGGATTCCCATGGACACCCCAAACAGGGATCTGGGATTCCCACAGCACCCCCAGCCCAGGGATTTGGGGTTCCCTGCTCCCATCATCCCCCCAGTCCCACAGGCACCCCCTGCCCAGGGATTTGGGGTTCCCACGGACACCCCCAGCCTGATCCCTGCTCCCACCATCCCCAATTCCACCCCTCTGTCCTCAGGGCCATGGATCCGAGGGGAATCGGCTCCAAATCCAGCGTGGAAGAGTCGGAGGGACCGGAATCCCCGGGAAGGGATTGGAGTACCCAGGAAGGGATTGGAATCACTGGGAAGGGATGGGAATCTCCAGGAAGGGATTGGAATCCCCAGGAAAGGATGGGAATCCCCAGGAAGGGATTGGAATCCATGGGAAAGGATGGGGATCCCTGGGAAGGGATTGGAATCCCTGGGAAGGGATGGGAATCCCCAGGAAAGGACCAGAATCCTCAGGAAGGGATTGGAATCCTCAGGAAGGGACCGGAATCCCAGGAAGGGATGGGAATCCCTGGGAAGGGATTGGAATCCCAGGAAAGGACCGGAATCCCCGGGAAGGGATTGGAATCTCCAGGAAGTGGCCGGCATCCTGGGAAAGGGATTGGAATCCCGGGAAGGGATTGGAAACCCCGGGAAGGGATTGGAATTCCCAGGAAGGGATTGGAAACCCCAGGAAGGGATTGGAATCCCGGGAATGGGGCTCAGCTCAGCCCACGCTCTATCCCTCTGCTCCATCCCTCCCTGTCCCCAGGAGCCCCCTGGGTCGGGAATGCTGCCGGGACAGGGTTTGAGGCTCCGGCCCTTCCCTCACCCCGAGACGTTTCCCTGTGTCCCCCCCTTTGGGTGCAGCCCCTTTCACCCAAACCTCTCCTGGCTCCGGCTCCGTCCCCTCCCTGCTCGCTGCCATCCCCTCTGCCAGCCCACGGGGTTATAAACCCCATTTCTCTGGATTTTGTCCCATTTTGTGCCACCTCCATGTCCCCACTCACTTGGTGCCGGCTCAGAGCCATTCCCAGCCTAAAGATGAGCCCAAAGTGGGATTTGGGGGAACTTTGGGGAGTAACGGGGAATGAGCGATGGCGCAGCCACCCAAAAATCACTGGGAGTTGTGGCCACCTCCTGATCATCCCTCCAGTGATGCTTTAGTACCAAAAATTAACATTTTGCACCCTAAAAATGCATTTTTTGGAGGCTTTGATCCACGGAATGAGATTCTGGAAGGTAAAAATGAGGCTTTGGGCCAGACCATTGAGTATTTGGGTCCATAAACAAAACTTCAGCCTCTAAATCAGAGGCTTTGGACTTTCAAAACCAGACTTTGGGCCTTAAAAATGTGATTTTGGGCATTAAGATGAACTTTTAGACCTCTGAAAGGGCACTTGGGACATAAAAATGAGGGTTTGCACCATAAAAAATGAGGTTTTCAACCACAGAATCAGAGTTTTGGGCTCCAAAAGTGAAGATTTGAGACTTAAAAATGAGGTTTAGGGATGTTAATATGAAGTTTTGGGACACAAAAATGAGGGTTTGGGATCTAAAAATGAGGGTTTGGGACCTAAAAATTAGGATTTGAAGCATAAAAATGAAGTTTTGGGATACAAAAATGAGGCTAGGGGCACAAAAAATTTAGGTTTTTCTCTCTAGAAATGGGGTTTAGATCCTGAAAATGAGAGTTTGGACCCTCCAGTTGTGTCTTGGTGTTTAAAAATGAGGAAAACGGGTAAAAGTGGAGCTAGAAAATGTGGATTGGGATGATCCAAACGGTGCTGGGGGTTCGGGGGTGGCACCTGGGGCTGGGGACTCACCTGGCAGACACAGCACCAGGAGCTCCGCCGCTCTCATCCTGCTGGAATGACGGAAAAGGGCGGGAGCGCGGCCGGGATGCAGCCGGAGGAGTCTGGGTGTGAACAGAGGGAATTCAGAGGGAGGGGACACGGAGGGACACACAGGGACACTCAGGGACATGCAGGGACATTCAGGGATGCACAGGGACACACAGGGATACACAGGGACACTCAGGGACATGCAGGGATACACAGGGACACTCAGGGACATGCAGGGACACGTAGGGACAGGCAGGGACACGCAGGGACACACAGGGACATGCAGGGACATGCAGGGACACTCAGGGACACACAGGGACATGCAGGGACATGCAGGGACACACAGGGACACACAGGGACACACAGGGATACGCAGGGATACGCAGGGATACGCAGGGGCACTCAGGGACACTCAGGGACACTCAGGGACACACAGGGATGCACAGGGACACTCAGGGACACTCAGGGACATGCAGGGACACACAGGGACACGTAGGGACACACAGGGATGCACAGGGACACACAGGGACACTCAGGGACACTCAGGGACACGCAGGGACATGCAGCGACACTCAGGGACACTCAGGGATACAAAGGGACACACAGGGGCACACAGGGACAGGCAGGGACACACGGGGACACACGGGGACACGCAGGGAACAGGCAGGGACACACAGGGACACTCAGGGATACTCAGGAACACACGGGGACACTCAGGGACACACAGGGACACGCAGGGACACTCAGGGATGCAGAGGGACACTCAGGGACACTGCCCCATCCCGAGTGTCCCCGGGAGCTGGCTCCAAAAACATCCTCCCCCTCCCAGTCTTCAGAAATCAAAGAATTTCCCCAAAAATGCTTCCCGCCCATTCCCAGGGGATTTGCAAGGACCAAACCCCAGAATATCCCGCGGGCAGAGTGGGGAGGAGAAACGCCAGGATGTGGGATCACTCCCAGGATCATTCCTGGGATGTCGGGATCAATCCTGGCGAGTCGGGATTACTGCCAGAATCTGGGATAATTCCTGGGATGTCGGGATAATTCCTGGGATGTCGGAATGATCACTGCCAGGATCATTCCCAAGATGTTGGGACTGCTTCCAGGATCACTCCCAGATGTCGAGATCACTCCTGGGATGTTTGGATCACTCCCGGGATGTTGGGATCACTCTCAGGATGTTGGGATCATTCCCAGGATCTGGGATCATTCCCGGAATGTCAGGATCACTCCCGGGGTGTGGGAGGAGAGGCCCAGACCCCCCAGAATGGAAATTTGGGGCTCCTTTCCCGAGGTTTCCAATTCCTTGGGTGAGGAATTGTTTTGGGGAATTGCTGCATTAGCTCAGGCATCCCCTAAATCCAAAGGAACGTGGGGATTTGAGGAGAAAATCCTGGATTTTGTGAGGAATCCCGTGGGGTTTGGTGGCCTCGGGCGCTTCCCGGCGTTTTCCAAGCCTGCTGCTCCCGGCGGGACGAGGGGCCAAGGCCGGGAGCCGCCAGGAATGCCAGCAGCCCTTCCCCCATCCCCAGCCAGCTCCAGGGGGAAAATCGAGGGAAAAAGAGAAATTCTCCCCCAAAACTCCCCTGAAATCCAGGGGAAAGGGTTTGAGGATGAATCCCACTGGCATTCCCGGTGCTCGGGTGGGGGGATCCTCCCCAGGCGATCCCGGCTCTGCTGCTGGAGCGGGGAAACTGAGGCACGGGGGGGAGGAGCCCTTTGAATCTCATCCCTGCGGAGCGGGAACATCAACCCCCCGTGCCGGGAGAGCTTCCCAGCCCAGACCCCGGCAGGGAGCGGCTCTGGAGGGTGGGATCCTCCTCGGATCACATCTGAACCTTCCAGGGATCCCATCCAGCTCCAGAGTGTGGGATCCTCCAGGGATCACATCCTGCACCAGCTCCAGTGTGGGACCCTCCAGGGATCACATCCTGCACCAGCCCCAGTGTGGGATCCTCCAGGGATCCCATTCTGCACCTTCCAGGGATCCCATCCAGCACCAAATCCAGAGTGTGGGATCCTCCAGGGATCCCATTCTGCACCGGAGTGTGGGATCTTCCAGGGATCCCATCCTGAACCTTCCAGGGATCCCATTCCACACCAGATCCAGAGATTGGGATCCTCCAGGGATCCCATCCTGCACCAGATCCAGAGTGTGGGATCTTCCAGGGATCCCATTCTGCACCAGAATTTGGGATCCTCCAGGGATCCCATTCTGCACCTTCCAGGGATCCCATCCTGCTCCAGTGTGGGATCCTCCAGGGATCCCATCCCTCTCCATGCCCAGAGTGCCGTTTCCCAGCCACCCCAGTGACTGAAGGCACCTTCCAGGGCCCTTGTCCTGCACCCTCTGATCCCCAGCTCCTCTCCAGCACCATCAGGGCACCCTCAGGACCACGTCCTGCAGCCCCTTCCCCACAGAGCTCATCCCATGGGAACCTCCTCCTCCTCCCCATTCCAGGAGCTGCTGGAGGTGCTGACTCCAGACCCCTCCCGGCTTTGGGAATCCATGGAGCCGGTCCCAGCCGGGCTGGATCAGCACACTCAGCCCCGGCTGTGCCTCGGTGGGACAGGTCCTGTCTGCTCCTCACAGCCCAGGAGCCGCCCTGGAACGTCCCGGGATTAAAGGGACCGGAGGCTTTGCCAGGCTGGCAGAGCTGGGGTCTGGGACTGGGGAGGGGGCCTGGGGGAGCCCATCCTGAGCTCTGCTGGCTCTGCAGGTGCCAGGATCCCGTGGGACACCAGACCCGGCATCCCAGCAGGGAGGGATGGATGGATGGATGGATGGATGGATGGATGGATGGATGATGGATGGATGATGGATGGATGATGGATGGATGATGGATGGATGATGGATGGATGGAGGATGGATGGACGGATGAAGGCATGGATCCATGGACGGATGGATGGATGATGGATGGATGGAGGCATGGATCCATGGATGGATGGATGACGGATGGATGGATGGATGGATGGATGGATGGATGGATGGATGGATGGATGGAAAATGGATGGATGGATGGATGGATGGATGGATGATGGATGGATGAAGGCATGGATCCATGGATGGATGGATGGATGATGGATGGATGGAGGCATGGATCCATGGATGGATGGATGACGGATGGATGGATGGATGGATGGATGGATGGATGGATGGATGGATGGATGGATGGATGGATGAAGGCATGGATCCATGGACGGATGGATGGATGGATGGATGGACAGATGGAGGGACAGACACCCCCTCTGGAACCATCCCCTGCCATCCTCCCGCCCTCCCAAGGACACGGCTCTGCAGTGCCCTCCCTGCCAGCCCCGTTTCCAGCCTGCACAGCTTCTCCCGAGCTCCAATTCCCTGAATTTCCCCCAGTCTTGGCCGGAGCTCGCAGGGTTTGGCCGCGGGACGGGGACAGTCGGGTCACGTCTGCCCCGACGGCGACGCCAGCGGCTGCTCCCGACGGAGACCCCGGAGCGCCGCCGACATCCCCAGACATCCCCACGACATCCCCACGATGTCCCCACGATGTCCCCACGATGTCCCCCCTTCACCAAGGCCACCGAGGAGGGGATGAAGCCGCCTCCAGCCCCGTCCCCCCGGCCCGGCCGCTCCCCGCCAGGAGGGCCCCGCTGTTCCCCCTTCCCTTCCCTTCCCCAGGCTCCGCTCCCTCCGTGCAGGGGTCCGGCGGCTCCGACCGCGCCAGATGTTTTTGCAACTGCACATCTGGGAACAATCAACCCCGGAGAAAGAACACCACAGTCCCTTTCATTCTGCTAAACCCCACCTTCCCCCAGCATTTCCCCCCTCCCTCAGCTTTTCTTTTTTTCCCCCCATTTTCCTTTCTTTTCTTTTCTTTTTTTTTCTTTTTTCTTTCTTTTTTTTTTTTTTTTGAGCTCTCCCGTTTCCAGAGAATAGGAGAACAAAGGGGGAATATCAAAGGATTCCAATTTTTTTGGCCCCCGACCAGAGGTAAGGAACTTGGTGCCCCCATCCCTGTTTTCACACATCACCTTTTCCTCAGGGGGCCCGTCCCCCCCAAAAAATAAATTGGAATAAAAGATCCATTTTCTACAATCTCTTTCCAGGATGGAAAAGAAAAAAAAAAAAACCAACAAAACCAACCAACAAACCCACGGCTTCCTCCAGGCTTTAGGGTATTTTTAGACTTTTTGGAAGTGGTTAAAAATCTCCAGTAACTGTCAGGCCTCACAGAAGGGCCCCTTCCCCCCCTGGCTGCCGTTCCTTCAGCCCCCCAAAAATCAAGGGGATTTGTCTTTGTGATGTTAAAAAGCTGAAAACAACTTTTCCAAGCTCTTAACCGATAGAGTTTTTAAGATGATTTCACAAAGTCCCCAAAATGGGGGTTCAGCCCCGTTTGCTGCTGGGGGGTGGGGGGGGTCCCGGAATTCCTGGGAACTGGGGGGGGTTTCCCTCGCCTGGTCCTTACCAGTGAGTGCCGGCTCTGCCCTCGCCTCGGTCTCCTCTCTCTGCTTCCCCAAAACTCTTGAAATGAGAGTCCGAAAAAAACAAAAAAAAAAAAAACCCAAAAAACCTCCTACCTCCAGCACGGGGGATCCGCTGGGTCCTAAAGCCACACCTGAGCCGGCCCCTTCCTCCTCCCGCGCTGCCTGGGAGGGGGAAAGCCGGGAAAACCCCCAAACAACCCCAAATATCCACCCGTGGGACCGCACCGCTGCCAGGGCCGCCGGGGACGGGGTGCTCTGTTGGTTTTGGGGTTTTTTGCCCCGCGGGATGAGTTTTAAATCCATGGAAAAGCGAGGAGGGGGGAGGATCCCGCGCGGAGCGGGCCGGGGTTTGTGGGGCTGCAGGGAGGGAGGGAGGGAGGGATGGAAGGAGCAGCTCCGAGGATTTTTCTGCCACCTCGTCAGCTCTTGGGGAAAAAAAAAAAATAAAATCACTGCACCCCCAAAATTTGGGATCCTGGGATCACAGCACCGCTCCCGATCCAGGGGTGGATTCCGATCCCCCCCAGCAGCGAAGATGCTGCGGCCCCGCGGGGGATTTGTCCCGGGACGGGGCTGGAAAAGG